ATCCAGTGGATGCAAGATTCTCTCTCTCTCTCTCTCTACTCTACATGTCCCTCTTCCTCTCTGTCTCTCTCTCCCTCTCCCTATACCTCTCCCTCTCTCTCTCCCTCTCCCTCTCCCTCTCCCTCTCCCTCTCCCTCTCCCTCTCCCTCTCCCTCTCCCTCTCTGAAACTCTGCCTTTCAAGTAAATAAATCTTTAGAAATCTTGGAAATGAAGCACTCAAGTCAAATAAGCAATAGAATGGAAACCTTCAACACCAGACTTGATCAATCAAAACAAAGAGCATCTGAACTTGAAAGATCTTTTGAAATATTCTAATCAAACAAAAGAAAAGATTTTAAGAAAAGAAATAAGGCACCCTCTGGGCCTTTGGGACACCATTAAAAAAATTGAGTTGTAGGAATTGCTCAGGGTGAAGAGAGTAGAGGCTTAGAAATACCCATTCAATGACATAAAAGCTGAAATTTTCCTTAATCTGGAGGAAAATGTGGACATTAAAGTACAGGAGGTCCATGGGACATCAAATGGACATGATCAGAAAATATCTTCACCATGATGTATTACAAACTTTCAAAAGTACAACACAAAGAATTCTAAAATTTTAAGAGAAAAGCATCACTCACTTCTAAGGGAAACCCCAGTAGATTAACAGCAGATTGCTCAGAAATTTTAGCAGCCTAGAGGAAATTGAATGATACAAGTTCTGAAAGAAAATATTGGCCAACCAAGAATACCTTACCCAGAAAGTTACATTTCACAAAGAAAAGTTGAGGGAATTCATCACCACCAGATCAGCTATACCAAGATGCTTAAAGGAGTTTTACATTCAGAAGCAAAAGAAAGATAATAGCCTTCATGAAAAGTATAAAAACCACTAGAAAAAGAACATAAGAATATTAAAAATAGGGCTGGTGCTGTGGTGCAATGGGTTAAAGCCCTGGCCAGAAGCTTTGGCATCCTATATGGGTGCCGGTTTGAGTCCCGGCTGCTCCTCTTCCGATCCAGCTCTCTGTTATGGCCTGGGAAAGCAGTGGAAGATGGTCCAAGTCCTTGGACCCCTGCACCCATATGGGAGACCTGGAAGAAGCTCATGGCTCCAGGCTTCGAATCAGCACAGCTATGGCTGTTACAGCCATCTGGGTAGTGAACCAGCAGATGGAAGACCTCTCTGTCTACCTCTCTCTGTAACTCTGTCTTTCAAATAAACAAATAAAATAAATCTTTAAAAAAAGAATGTTAAAAATAAGTAGAAGAAATTTTTGAGTGATGAGAATAAGTGATTTATTAGCAATAATAATATTGAAAAAGGGCCAGTATTATGGCCAAGAGGGTTAAGCCACTGCTTATGATGCCTACCTTCCATAAAGTAGCACCAGTTTTAATCAGCTCCACCCCTACAATAATGGGATTCACTGCTCCTACTAAAGTTTTAAAAGGACCTGCTCCTGAACACGTGGCTCTCTTTCTCTCCATCTCCTGATATCTCTCTCTCTCTGTCTCTGTATCTTGATCTCTCTCTCTCTTACACTCTCCTCTCTTTTTTCCTTCTCTCCCCTTCCCTCCAGTCTGTTGGATT